CAACTGTACTTGTTGGAGATGCTAAGGCATATTAAGCAACAGTAGAGGTGTCAGCCAGCCAGCCACAGCAGGGCTGTGTTATTGCCCCAACCCTTTTTCCCATCTATCTTGCCATAATCTTGCTGCTTCTTTGTGGTTGCCTTTCTTCTGGAATTGGGATAGAGTATTGCATGGATGGCCAGCTCTTCAATCTGTGACGTCTTCATTCTAAAACTAAAGTCACCAGGACTGTTATTACTGACCTTCAGTATGCTGACGACTGTGCTATCCTCACACACATTGAGGCTGACTTGCAGTCCACCCTAGATCTCTTCTCAGACGCCTATCATAGCTTGGGACTTTCCCTCAACATTAGGAAGAGTAAGGTGCTCCTCCATCTTGCCCCAGAACAAGTTGCCCCTGTTCTCCCACAAATTGTCATTGGTGAACCCCTGGAAAATGTTGAGCATTTCCCTTACATTGGTAGCCACCTCTCCCAGACAGCCAATCTTGATGTGGAGATTGAACATGGGATCCGTTGTGACAGTGTATCCTTTGGAAAGTTGCTCCGTTGTGTCTTTACTGACAGATCTGTGGATGGAATCTAAGATCCTGGTCTACATTGCAATAGTCATCCCCACTCTTCTTTAGGGAGCGAGACATGGGTGACATACCAAAGCCATATTAAGCATCTGGAGTGGTACCAACAGCGCTGCTTTAGGTAGATTCTCTGTATCGGATAGGAAGACCATTGTACCCATGCCAGCATTCTCTCTGCAGCTAACATCACCAGTGTTGAGGCAAAGATTATGAAACATCAACTTCGCTGGGCTGGTCATTTTGTACGGATGGCTGATACTCATCTTCCAAAGCAATTCCTCTTTTCTCACTTAGTTATGGTAACAGGACCCGTGGAGGACAGAGGAAATGCTACAAAGACACCCTGAAAGTATATCTTAAGAAGGGAGGCATTGACCCCACGAATTAGGAAGAGCTGTAGTGGTGTTGTATCATACCTCAAGCCTCATCCTGGTTTGAAGAGAATTGCCTTGCTCAAGAGGCTGAGAAAGAGCAGAGGAGGAAGGAAAGGGTACAGCATCCAGGCCAGCAGTTGTGCTCTTTCCAAGCAACCACCTGCCACATATGTGGGAAAAACCTGTAAAGCACGAATTGGACTCCTCAGCCATCTTAAGTCTCATCAATGATTTTTCCCCATGGCAGACATCATCCTAGTATTAAGGGATAGCTAACAAACAAACAAGGTGTTAGCCCTGGTGTCCTGGCCAGATATAGGAAAGATGATTTCGTGCCTATGGAACTGTTTTGGGTCATGAGATTTGGGTTCTATTGTGGCTGTGCCATAGATTTCCTGTGAATTTGAGCAAGACGTTTAATCTCTTTGTGCCTATCTGATTATACGTTTTGTGAAGATATATTCATTAATGTTTGAGAGGCGCTCAAATACTATGGTGATAAATGCTGTAGAAAAGCCTATATGTAAATAAAATACTTGAGTACAATTTGGGAAACTACATTCATCCTACTTAACTTAACCCCGAAGTCTCACTTGCTTTCTTGCATCTTTTAGTGCAAGATGTGGCTGCATCTCAGTGCTAGGGTGGGGGGAGAAATGTATTATTTTTTGTGAGGCACTTGGGAATCCTCTCTGTAGGCTCTAACTGTGAAATAAAACAGCTTTTGCACAGCTTGTTTCTTGAGAGTTGGGTAACTTGTTACAAAATATTGAATTCAAAAGCAAAATGCAACAGCTTTAACCCAAATTAAGTCAATTATTTAAATGTTTGTTTTCAAGCTTATAACTTGGAATAGACATAAATTATTATATTCTTTCCTGCCCGATTAGTTACTTATGATGGAAGTAAATGTTTATATTTTTAAATCTGTCCCCTATGGGCCAAGAAGAGATTGCTAAAACAATGGATATCACTTTTATGAACAATTCATGTTTAGTCAAATTTTGTGTCATGTGGGTTGAACTAACTGTCATTCAGTTATACTGTGTGCTGTCATTGGGTTGTACAAAATTTATAAATAAAACACTTCTAAGATAATTTCTTTGGTAACATGGCATATATGGGATACATGGTAGTGTGGTATCGAGGTTTGATCAGCACTTATTTGCAATGACTTGCAGAAATATGGCCATCCCAAAATTATGTTAATGAAACTTCTAAACCATGCCACGTTATCATGTATTCTTCGTATGTGTCTGTTTTATAATTAGTTAACTCTTCATAGCATTATATCTGAGCATAAAGTATGATTTATAATCTTTATATCCTGTTTTTATATTATTTGTTTTATGATTGGCTGGATGTTTGACTACTCTGTTTATAGTTGGATTTGCATAAAACTTTTTTAAAAAGTATATAAATTCACTATTATACTTTTCATTAACTGTTTTTGAGGCTACTGTTAAAATGTCCTAAACATATCATAGAAGTAGAGCTGGCTTTGTGATAAATAAATTACAAAAGTATGCATATGCGCAAACCGCAGGAATATTGGAACATCACCCTATTGGTTAGTATTACTTAAAACAATAGAGATCAAGTTCTCAATTTGTTAGAATAGTGGCAGGCTAAGCTGGTATTGCTAGTTTAGTGTGGAATCTATATTATAAAAGTTATTTAAAAGTAAAATCAGCCTTTTAATGCCATTAACCATGCTTTCTTCATGAACAACCAACAAACTCTTTCTCTTGTGTCTTTGGAGGAATGGGAACCACGGTAGATGAAAAGCTGCTGTGCGAATTTCTCTAAATAGAAAATAAGTTTTTTAGTTAGGAAACATGATTGCAGAGAATTTTCACTTAATGTGTGCTGCTTCAGGTTTTCAGGCAGTTCCCTAGATCCCTAAAATCTCCTCATTTCACCAATTCTGCCTCCCAAAAAATTTGTTCAGCTGTGTAACAATACTCTTCCCCCTCTTTTTTTTTTTTCTTCAATTTTGTTCACATGGAATTGGATAGGGGAATACAAAATGTAAATGTCTTTTTATGAAGGACATTATAAAAAGGAGCTGTGTCCTCAAAAGCTTCATATTTTACAAAATAAATTCTTAATGTCACATATGCCAGCTGGAAAATTTCTTCCTCACTAGTGCTAGATTTAGTGTTCTAGAGCAGCTAGCTATGTTCAAAGTACTACAAGAAATCCCAATGTTAATGCTTCCTATTTAGAGGCTCTCAGACTCGTTAATACTAATTGGGAGTCCTTACCATCTGATAGCTGTTCAGTAGCCTCTGTAATATGAGGTCTAGTGAACAGCATCCACATTACAAAACTATTATCATGTAATTATTATCAACAATCTCTGCAGACAAGCTAAGGAATCAGTATATCTGCAATCTAAACTACCAGTTCATCCCTAGAGATGCTCTATTCCAGAACAGGCTTGAGGCATGCTGTGACAGGGCAATGTGAAGAAGCTTGCATTGCCATTGCATGTATCATACTTATTTTGAGGATTTTAGCTACTAGGGTTATCCGTCAATATGCACAGTAAGTTCACTGAACAACTGGAGAACACTCTCTGCTTTACAATAAAGCTGCTACTACATCTTCTCTTAAATCCTGTGCTTCCTGTTCAGAGACTTTCTTATAATCTACATTTCAGTATATTTTATACTTTCCTTGAATCAACACCATGCTGAAGAGAGTAATATATAATGTTTCATATGTACAGAGGCTTTTCAGTTGCATGGAACAGCTTGCCATGTAGTGTTCTCACCCTCTCTTTGTTCACATTAGTGCTAAAGATGTGTTTCATGAGGCTTCAAAACACTAGGGGGAAAAAAGAGTTAAGTTAACACTGCATCTGCCCTCCCATTGTGTCCTGTTCTGTGTGTCTTATACTGCAAGTTCCTTGTGTTAGGTACTGTCTTTCTCTGTCTTGTACAGTACCAAGCACATTGTTGGTGCCCTTTTAGCAATAGCTTCTATGTCATGTCTATCTCTACACAAAAGAAGAAATTTTGACCAAGAAGATATAAATTCTAATGCTGAATTTTAAGGTTCGTAACAAATAATTGCAGAGATTTTTTTTTAGATGTTATGCCAGAGAATCTGTATGATTGAATATAGAAAGAATGTTTTTTAAAATCAGTAATCTAAATAAATTTGATAATCCATTGACATTTGTTCTTAATCCATCTACTGTTTTTAACATTTTGCATATAGTAATGCGACCTGAAAATAATTGCTATGAATTATTACCATACAGAATTCAATTGTTGATGATGATAACCAGAGGAGAAGTGATATAAAAATGTGGTTGAGTGAATTCTGTATTAAAATACTTGCTGTAAATTGCAACAGAGAGAGTATGGTAGCTAATAAGTGAACCTATGATGTAACTTTTGCTTTATACAGGCATAAAACACCAATTTTGCTCTAATTACAGAGCAGTATTAATGGTTAAAAAATCAGTTTTCTGTGTGAAATACAACCACAGGGATTAAATATATACACAAAATTGCTATAGCTTCCTACTGATATTTTATAAATCTTACGGTTATAAATAGTGAACAATTGATATTACAGTTCTTTCTTGTAAGAAAAAGCTCAGTTGGGTTCCTGGGTGGTGGTTAATTTTAAATGTGGGTTTCTAAACAACTTTCAGTAAGCTCCTTTTTTTTTTTTTAAAGGTTTAAAACTCCTCTATCCTTAAACTTCATGCTTCTGTTTAAAAAATTATCAAAATCAAACCACAGTGAGCTTTTTCTTACAATGCAACTTATTGGGATCTTCAAACAGATGTTCTTCATCTTTGCTAGTTGTGTTTTTCGTAGCAGTGAACTTTAGTTAATCTAATGAAATTATTTGTTTTCTTGAAAATCAATAGCAGCTGAAGTACACTAGTGTTATAAGTAACTGATTTTATTTTTTGTGTGAAGTTCAGAATATTTTTCTTAGTGTATCTAGACAAACCCACCTACAAATAATTTGTTAAAGTAGTAACTATGAAATTTTCACTGCTGCTTGATTTTGTGTTTGTAGAGCCAGAATGAAGACTGGGGAGGTTTGTCTGAGGATATCTTATGATTAAGAGCAGTCTAAGGCTTTAGCCCTTTTGACCCCCCTCTAAATTGGTAACTACCAGATTTACCATTTTGGTGGCATGGATTAAATGGGTGCTATGCAGAGACTGTTGCACGTGTAATGAAGTCCTTGCCTGATGAGTAAAGGATATACACAGAAATTACGGGTGATGGGCTTAATCTTCTGCAACATTTGCATGATGGTATTTGGAGAGTGCTTTGGGTGTTCTGTTTTATTTTCATTTTTATACTAACAGCATCAGTTTGAAGTGTGATTTTTTTTTTTTATGAGCTTTGTTTTGGTGTTGGTAATTAAGTGGGTTAATGGAGTTTAGAGAAGTGGTATACCAAAACTAATTACTAAACAGATGTTTGGCTTTGTTTACTTGTAAGCAACCCACTTAAACATGTGTTCACTGGAAAATGCGCTGTTACCTCTGGTAGGCAAATGACATGGGCCCCTGTATAGAATGTTGCTGCTGCAATTGACTGTACATCTAATACTGGGTGATGCTGCATGAGAGAACAAACTTATTTGCATATATATAGTGCATTGCAACATATTTTTGTGCAGGCCCCTAAGAGAGGAATACATTGTGGCAGTGTTACAAAGAAAAGGTAAGACTGTCTTCAAAAAGCTCACACACGAAAAATGGGTCAGTTTGAAAACCTATTAGTCAAGGTCTTAGTGTTTAAATCAGTTACATTACATAAATGTAGTTAAATATATCAACTTTTATTGTGTACAAATGCCACAGGGAATATTTTATTTCAGGTGTAGTTTGAGATGTATAAAGATTAAGACTTAATTCATTAGACCAGTTGAATGTAAATGTACACAAATTTTGCAAGTAATGAAAGGAAATTTCATCTTTAAGAAAATACATTTTGCAAAGAATGAGTTCAGATGCTCAGCTTGCCTTTTGTGATGAGTCATAATTCTGGTTTATGTATATGATACATAATTATTTTAATAGTTAAATTTTCTTTATATGATGTCTTTTTTTTGCCTTTTAAATAAAATTTTGCTTGCTGTTCATTTGATGACTCCTGTGATGGCATCCAAGAGTGCTGGTAAAGTTTTGACATCAAATGGGCTGGATTGCACTACAATATTTTATCCTACATGAACGCCAGCAATTATGATTTATATGATGCTGAATGCAGTTTAATGGTCAGGGTAGACAAGGACAAAACGTTTTTTCATGTCAGCTGACTACAATGCTGTTAGTTTATTCTGGTCTACAATGACCGCTAAATTGCATTCGAAATCATGTCAGTTAAACACAATTGTTGGCATCTGTGTTTAAACAGTAAAAATCTTGTGGACCTCATAGATTCAATTATTACTTATTTAGATTTAACATTATTAATGACTTTCACTTGAAATTTATTTGGAGGAAGGGAGTCTTTTTACTTTTTTGAAAGTGTGAGTGAGTTCAGTGTTGTAAAGTGTGTGGGAAGAGGGAAGGGTACTTGATAAATTGTGTAGGATGAAGACTTAGGGCACATATAAAAACAAAAACTTGGATTAATTCCATAAAATAATTATGATAGGCTGGTTTAAGGGAAATAGAGAATAAACATTCATAACAATGCATTTGTTTGCTGGGAATATTTTTGAAACTTAGTTGGGTGGAGCTCCATGTGAAAGCCTTACAGCACTTTTTTCATGCAGTTAATTAATTGCCATATGGGATGGAGCCCTTATTAGAATTATTGGCACTTACTATATCTTATTAAAACAACCTCCAGTGTGGCCTTTATATAGTCCTGCACATCATAGGAGGGTAGTTATTTATGATGATATAGAAGTTGCATACTAAATTTATATTTGAAGGACATTCATCTGGGACACAGGTACTCAAATTAGAGGTTGTGCGATCACCCTGCCTTTCCCATATTATATTGCTCAATAATAAATAGGTCTTGACTAGATCCTGGGTACCTGGGATGGATGGGAATTCTTAGAGGTAGTTTGGGGCTACAGTGTGGCAGATGCTGAGTATTACTAACCTAGAAATTTTGCACGTCCTAAAATACTGATGTGTGACGAGAGTCACTTTTTTGTTTGAAATAAAACTATAAGAAGTGAGTCTTGTAATACATTCATTGAGCACAACCAACAACCTTTGTAAGTATTGCTAGGAGAACTTGGTCCGCCAAACATGAGTATCAGGTTTCTTTTTCTTTTTGTACTTTGTTGTACTTTCCCATCTCTCCACTATAACAGAAGTCCTATATAAGGATGTGACCCTTATGGCTTGGCTAGTGTTAATTCTGTGATTGTAAAATTTTGGTGATCCCTGATTTATGTTTTTCTCAAGTGGAGACTTACAAAAATGTTCTGTTCCGATCTATGTTGGGCAGTTAGACTATGGGCTTTTGAGGAACCTATATAATTTGTTGTCCTGTTTGGCTACTTTATGCAATGTTTCTAGGGTCTGATGCATATTCGTACATGTAGTAACTGGGGCACTGCATAATCTGAGTGTCAGTAAGTGGAATGTAATCTATGTTCTTGAGGGGTATGTGTGAGAGAGCATATTCTATAGTATAGATGCAGAATTTCTCCTTTTGTTGTTTTTACTCAGTGTATTACAGTAGTATGCATATGCCCCTATCAGGGCCCCATTGTGCTAGGTCTGTGCAATCACATGTTAAGAGACAGTCTCTGCCATGAAGAACTTAATCAAATTTAAGACGAGGCTACAGTTGTAATGAATAGTCAGAAAACATAAGGGAAATAGTGATAGGAAAAACAACGAGAAGTCCTTGTGTCACCCTTAGAGACTAACAAATTTATTTGGGCATAAGTTTTCGTGGGTTAAAACCCACCTCATCAGATGCATGGAGTGAAAAATACAGTAAGCAGAATATATATTATAGCACATGAAAAGATGGGAGTTGCCTTACCAAGTGGGGGGTCAATGCTAATGAGCCAATTCAGTTAAGGTGGAAGTGGCCTATTCTCAACAGTTGACAAGAAGGGATGAATACCAAGGGAGGGGAAATTACTTTTGTAGTGCTAACGAGGCCAATGCAATCAAGGTGGCCCATTTCCAACAGTTGAGAAGAAGGGGTGAGTATCAGCAGAGGGAAAATTACTTTTTGTAGTGATCCATCCAGGTGATGTGCACTAGATGATTTTGAGTTTATATGTATGCAGTAAATATGCATACAGCTTCCGTTAGATGCATACAGCTCCCGTTAGATGCAGTAGAAGTTGTGCTTGCATATCTGAGGGTAGCATTTGCAAATGTTAGAGTAATGGTCATGACTTAAAAAGAACAGGAGTACTTGTGGCACCTTAGAGACTAACAAATGTATTTAAGCATAAGCTTTCGTGGGCTAAAGCCCACTTCATCGGCTGCATAGACTGGAACATACAGCAAGAAGATATTTATACATACAGAGAACATGAAAGGGTGGAAGTAGCCATACCAACTGTAAGAGGCCAATCAATTGAGATGAGCTATTATCAGCAGGAGAAAAAAAAGTTGTGAAGTGATAATCAAGGTGGCCCATAGAAGGTGTGAGGATACTTAACATGGGGAAATAGATTCAGTTAGTGTAATGACCCAACCATTCCCAGTCTCTGTTCAAACCTAAGTTAATGGTATCTAATTTGCATATTAATTCAAGTTCAGGAGTCTCTCTTTGGAGTCTGTTTTTGAAGCTTTTCTGTTGCAAAATTGCCACCTTCAAGTCTCTCACTGAGTGGTTAGAGAGGTTGAAGTGTTCTCCCACTGGTTTTTGAATGTTATGATTCCTGATGTCAGATTTGTGTCCATTTATTCTTTTGCGTAGAGACTGTCTGGTTTGGCCAATGTACATGGCAGAGGGGCATTGCTGGCACATGATGGCATATATCACGTTGGTAGATGTGCAGGTGGACGAGCCCCTGATGGCGTGGCTGATGTGATTAGGTCCTATGATGGTGTCAGTTTCCACTCTGAGTGTGATTTTTACCCTACGTGCATTGCTTAGTAATATATCTCATAACAATAACAGTGGGGAGTATCTATGATGACGAGGAATAAAATTTTTGGAAAGCTTTAGTGTGATATAGTGGATGTTTACTCCCCTAACTGTAAAGCTTGTGTAAATCCTTTGGAAAACACCATTTATCAATTAACTGGCAGGTGTGAAGTGTAGCATTCTAAAGGGATTATCACCTTTGTTCCAACCAGATCAGGGAAGAGGTGGGAGTGGGTGAGGGGGAAGAAAGACACCCACTGAAGTCTGATTACAGTGAATGAAGGTTCAGCTGGTACTTTTGCTTCCCCAGTTGAGAGTGGAGGAGGAGAGGGGTCACTACTGTTGTCTCTCACGCTTTCCTTGGCTGGTGAAGTGAAGGCTGGGGAGATGACAGTTTTACTTCACTGTGTGCCTGTGTAAAATTTTTATATTCTTGCAAAATAATGCTTTAAGTGCCTAACGGTGGAACCGCAAAGAAAGCGAACAGTAGCAGCTTTGTATAGAGAAATATCTTATGAAATATTTCCTGGTGACTCAACCTCTATTTGTTAAATTGATCTAAGATCTGATGGACTTCTGTATAATGTCTCTTTAAACAAAATCTTACTGTTGTAATAATTGTTTTGTTTCTTATATTTACATGGCTAGGATCTGTAAACCTGTTAATATTTCCTAAATAAATAGTGTGTGTGTGGAATCATTAATTTTGCAATCTTATCTTCAAGTGCGTTTTGCCTTGAAATCTCTTCCAGTTGACAGTTGTTAATGAAGATTTCAATCTTAATCAAAATTTCTTACTGTTCCCCCAAAGGTAGTTTGCTTCTTGGACCAAAAACACTCCTGAAAAATGGACTACAGTTATTACCAATTCTATACTGACTACTGATTTGTTGCTCCAGTTTTGTATTTCTTTAGACTAGGAAAAGTGGTCAAGTTTTAGCCTGAGGTTAGTCAACACATTTCCGCTCACAGTTTAACACAGTTCTCTCTCCTACCTCTAAACCCCTACCAGCAAAACAAAACCCAACCTTAAAAATCATCCTCTACGCTACGCAGAATATTGATCCCAAAAATGGAGCAGTAAGAGACGCAATGAAGTCCACTAGGGATTTCACTGTTGTTATTGATTTTATGTAGAAGGTGTTCAGATACTACAGTGATGGTGTATTCATCATCATTTACTGCATACGTATTTAGAGAGCTCATCTCAACTTTTCCCTGATCTAGACACACTATTGTCTCACTTTAGCTAGTATGGACATCAATCAGCTAAATTGAGGCAAAAGTTGTTAACCTGTATATCTATGCTTGGGAAAAGATTAAGGTTAGGTAGGGGTTAGCTAGATATTTTAGCTAACATGAATCTCATCTGAACCACTTTCCTAATGTATACAAGTCCTTAGTGACAGGCTGGGATTTTCAGAGAAGCCTTACTCGGGAAGGTTCAAAGGAACCTTCCCTTAAGAAAGACTGTGTCATTTGAAGTAGTAGTCATGATGCATTAATTTCCAAATAAGTATTTGAGAAAGAGAAATCTGAAACCAATCTCATGATGTCAGGCAAAGTGTTTCTCTGAGTTTAAATTTTCAAAAATGACTAGTGATTTTCAAGTGGGTGGTTAATGTCACAACCTGGAC